TGATGTTGCTTGAATTAAGAAAAACGCACTTATTGTATTGGTAGATAATTTTACTTGTCAAGTTGTTTTTAATTTAAGCCAGTTTAACTTGCCCAGATATAGATGTTTTGCAGTGAAACCATTCAGAAAATTAAAAATGTAATATAGTTGATACTCTTGTAGTAGTCCTCATGCCTCAGTTGGTCCAGTCAGACTAAACGTGCCCCCCGGGGTCCTGTTTAGTGGGCCATGAAAATAAATAAATATGTGGAACATTTCACTGAAGGTTCAGACCACACACACATGTTTAACCATTCATAACAACAAATAAACAGAATATAAATGAGCCAAAGTGTCAAAGGACATTAGAACATTTGAGTACCACTTATCCATGCTGAGAACTGCTGTACAGACTTGATACATGTTGAATAAAGTATAATCTTCTACCCTTCCCCTGGATCAAAACCATAGCTATTATTAATAGCACTAATATACTCCTAGAATTACATAGTTTTAATACACCCATTTGGTTTTTCATGTCTTCCTCTGCACAAATTGCATCAGTCATGAGTCAAATTGTAAAGAAAATCACCTAGTTTCAGTCAAATCATGGGCAGAGAGACAAAATGCTGTCACTAATATATTTCTGGCAATATAGCAGTTTATATCGGAGAGTATGACAACTATAAAAGTACATTTTACCTCAGTATATTCCATCTGAAAAATGTTAAAGATGTTACGATAAGACCCTTTCCAAACCTTGAAGTGATTGCTGCAGAAAACGTAATCAAATCATCGCTACTACTGTATACACGGAGCTGTGATCCAAAAGGCCATACAGTCTAAAAGCTTGTGTCTCATTATAGTGTATATGAACTCTGCTCCTGCTGCACATTACACCGGTCGCTTTAGTCCAGACTGAGCCAATCCAAACACACAGTACTTCCACATAGAGAAACATCCAGGCCACATTCATAAGAGTACGGCCAAAATAAATATATCACAGCCCATGCCTTTAACAGAGCCGGACCACTGACTGCTGCACAGCGCTGCACATAAACATGTCACACATTTAAGAAGAAGGGAAAAAATAGTTACATGAATGGAATTTTTGTGAAATGCTGTACTCATTATAATATTTATGTAAAGTTCCTGAGCTCCTGATGCTATCTACTGTACATGTGAATCATTACAACCAAAACAAAGAACACAATAGGGCTAATAATAAAACGATATGACTCATTAGGATCATGAACAATTATACAAAATATGACTCAGGAATAATTCACACTCCGGTTCCAGTAATTCAGTGGACTTTACTAATAACTAGGTATGTAACAATATCCAAATCTCATAGTACAATATTTTCATGATATACATCTCACCGTATGATATCTATTGCGATATTTTGTGGAGACTAACAAAACCGTGAATATGCTACTTTTTCCTCTTAAAATGCCTTGACATGTCTTAATAAGATTTAAAAGTGCTTAGAACTGCTATTTCTTCATGTAGTTTACAACAAAGGCAGCAAAGGATCATGGTCGATGTATTTCTCATTTTAGCTATTGCTGCACCATAACAATGAATTTAAGCAAAGATACTTGTGATTCGATATATTGTGATGGTCCACGATATTATTGAGAGACTTTTGACGATACGGTATCATGATATTTTGGTTATTGTTACACCCCTACTAATAAACCTTACTCCTACTGTAAATAACATAGCTCCTCTCTTCAGAAATATATTTTAATTTTTTAATTTTATTTGCAAAAGTGGTCATGTTATATATAGCGCATTTCCAACTTCAAGGCACTCATAGCGCTTTAAATCAAGGAGCCACACACCCAGACACTGGGAGCAAGGTGGGTTAAGTGTCTTGCCCAAAGAAACACAGACAGCATTCATCTGTGGGAGCTAGAATCTAGGGTCACTCAATCAAAGATGTTTACAGTATGTCGAGAGCGGGATTACAACTGGCGACCTTTGGATTAGTGGACGAACACTCTACCAACTGAGCTACTGTCGCTATAACATTTCTGTACATATAATTAAGACAACACATGGGTGAACTGGAGCATGAAGGAGACAGGCCTAGTTGACAGAATTCAACCATATTTTGCATATTTTATTTGATGTAGTATATCTTCTATTGCCTAATGTTCAATAATTTGTTGATTTGTAAATTTTTGCTTGCCTATATTACTGATCCAGCTCTCTCTGTGCAGTGGGATCCAGGCTTTAGACAGACATACGGTATAGATATATATGACCATACATAATCATGTGTATCAAATGTATGGAAAGAATTGTGCTACAAAGTTCTGTGAGGGCACAAACATAAAGGATCCATCTGGACTCATGGCAGTTTTTATAGCTTCAGAACAGAGCGTGTGTTTATTGTGGTTTAAAAGTGCTTATAGGCGAGTTTTCATCATTAAGTCACTCTGAAGCTAATCTAAAACATTTCTTAAGAATATGACATTATATTTAACAGCCATTTGTGCTTTTAACTCAATACAAATGTATATTTTGTGGATTTTCTCATCTCCCTTGTGATGTGGCTTCAACAGAAAACTCCCAAATTTAAACAATACTCCATTGTGAGTCACAGAGATGTCCGGTTCACAGGAAGGGCATTTAATTCTGTAATCCAGATTTACAGTAAATCAAACTGAACTTGTAACATTTTGACATCATTATTTCAACTTCATTAGTTTAATACTAGTTATACTTTTCTGAATCATTCTGATGATGCTGTGGTATTTTTGACAGACTACATACTTTTATGTTTTTAACAAAGAGATTATCGACTTTATAATGCCAACGTCACCAACTACCATCTAATCACCTTAAAATACAAAAATAGATCTACTCTATCACTGTCTATTGGTGGTTTCATTTGTAGAATATGACAATATCATACTTCCTCATGGGGGTCAAGAGGCACTTTTCCCTTTTCCTCTGTGTCTTTTATTTATTTTATTAATTTTACTTATTTACTGCTATTTTATGATTTTTATGGTTTTTGCTTTTATTTAGATTTTACTGCTTTTATTGTTTTAGGACTGGTATGATCAAATTTTAGCAATTTACTTTTTTGTTGTCTTCATTTAATGATCTCTGTGCAGCACGTTGGAAACTGCTTTGTTTATGCTATAGAAATAAAGTGGATTTGGACATTTCTTTTTTGATTACATAATAAATATCAGAACAGAACATTTGTATTCATTTTAGCTGCTGCCATTTTCTTTTAAATATTATTGGTTATATAAAGTTCAGTTCCGTACAGCCTCCACAGAGGAGTGTTTTAAGTTAAAGACTTTCTGTCTTTTGGCACTGCATTAGTTGCATGGTCCTCTGAGACTTTTATTTATTTACATAAAAAACATTTTCATTTGATTTATAGTTTTAACCATTTTTAGTACTTTAATGTTTTTTATTCATGATATACTGTTTTTTATGGTCATAATTTGGAATATGTGCAATAAAAATAAAGTGGATTGGATTGAAAGTTGTAATGTTATCTTATACTCGGCAGCAGTGTAATACAGTATATTTACTTGGATCAAATTAGATAGTAAAGTATGTAAATAAAAACATTTAACAGTAATATGGCTAACCACTGCGATCTTGCAACTTGCCACACATTGTTCTATTTCCAGATATTAAGATACTCACGTGTTGTATTTTAAAACCATAATATTGAAAATAATGTAGCCTGTATACCTCCAACTTTACTCATAGAGTGGAAATAGTTTACAATTGCAGTCTGCAATACAGTATATGCCAGTTGACCTGAATTTGCTTCCATAAAAACAGTCCTGTCTAATATTTCATTTTCTTTCAGTCTCTCAAACAAAGATTTTCCTGGGAACTGTGTGAAATAAATGCTTTTTGATCATTTCCTCCATCTTGGTTCTCAGACAGTTCAGTGAAAGGACAAGCCCAAATAGATTCTAAATTGAGCCCCTGATTTGGTTCAACAGTGCATGAAGGATTACTGTGTGATATGGGACTTTGTGACGCTGCACTAAATAGTCTCTGGGCAGCACCTCATTTTAAAAGTGAACTATTTGCAGCTAATGAAGTGATTTCCCAAAAGAGAAGTGCGATCTTTAAGAAGGGAATAAATAGGTTTATGGAAACTTGATCTGATCATTATTTTATGTAAAACAAGACTGGTAACTATTACAGCTCAGTTGTCAGTGATTTTTTTTTGTCATAAAGTAGTGGAATCTACATAGTTTCACATGAGAATAGCCCTGGTCCACTTTCCCACTCGCGATATGTGTTCATGTAGGAATGAAACAATAAAGGTAATATTATAGAAAAGCTTTGTTTTTTGTAAAAATCTCAGAAAGTCTTTAGTTCTTTAAAAGAATTTAATTATTCTTTTCCTGTGAATCCTAATCGGATGAACGATTACACAGACATTGATAATTAGAACGGATGTAACAAGTAACCAAAATATTGTGATACTGTATCGTCAAAAGTCTCACAATATTATCATGGGCTGTTACAATATATCGAATTACAAGTTCCTTTGCTTAAATGTATGGTTTTACAGTAGCAACAGCTTATAAACATAGGGAACTACATATCCCATGATTCATTTCAGTGCAGAAAACATGAAGAAATATGTTTTTTACTTGAATTCTTGGTATTATGATGGAAATAATTCACAGCAAATTCTTGTCAAGGTTTTTTAAAAGCAAAAAACTGTCCTATCTACAATTATATTAGCTTCTCCAAAATATCGTAATAAATATTGTACCATGAGATGCATATTGTAATAATATTGTACAGAGAGATTTGTATATTGTTACATCCTTAATAATTAGCATACAAATAATAAAACAGAAATTGGTTTTACTTTGTTTAGGATGTTTAAACATATCAGAATCAACTTGTGATCAATGTTTTGAGATAGATCAAAACAAAAGAAAACTGTGCTGTTGCATCCTTACATTTCTTGCTTGTGAACATTGTCCTGATGTCCTGTGCTTGTTTTGCAGCATGTGTTCTCTATGGACGCCGCTAATGTGGAGAATGGACGAGGGAAGGTCCCACACGACCCCAGTCTGCCCTTCGCCAGCACCTTCAGCGGTATGTCACATCTCATATTGCATCTTTTATATAATTTACTTATGTTGTGCAGAGGCTATGCATGAAATCCAAACTGACCAAACTAAGCAACGCAGTGGAGTTGCTCAGGGCTGATGTCACAACTCAACTTCTGGGTCTAATAAAATTCTAAATTCTGGCTCTATTTTAGCATTGCAAAAATGTGTTGTATTCAAAATGCATGCTGAATATTGCGATCAGTATTTTTGCAATATTTGGATGCAACCCCATCTATTCAGGCTCAGAATTTTTATAAGGAATAGCATTACAAAATGTTTTCTTATGCTGGATTACATTTAGCAGTACGCAATCTTGGAGCTTATATGTTTTATTTAGTCTATCACTACTATGATTACTTCAGCCTGACCTTAAAATAACAGTAAAAGTCATTGTTAGTTGAAGTAATATTGTCTGTTACTTTGAGGTACTGTTGTTTGAGATCACAAGGTCCCAAGACCAGGACAAGACCAAAACCTCTGAGGGTCAAGACCGAGACAAGACCAAGACTTTTAAAGGCCGAGACAGAGACAAGACCAAGACCATGGCCCATCGAGACAAAATCGAGACCATTATTATCATTTTCAACATGTATTTGTATTTTACAGTTATTTTGGCATAAATATATCAATGTTTTTATAAATCCCATCGAATGCCAAGACAAGACCACGTCCAAGCACCTTCAAGACCGAGTCCAAATGTGGTTGAGTCCAACACGAAGACGAAGACTGCAAAAAGAAATGGTCTCGAGGCCGGTCTAAAGACCAAAACTGGCCTCAAGTATTATGACACTACTTTGAGGTATCACAGTTAGTTTCTCTTGGACACATTGTCACACTGACCTGTTCTGGCCCATTTAGATGCAGCTGTTCTCCATAAACATCATTTAAAATTTAAGTTTGGGCATTTTTTACAACATGTTGCTAGGAAGGCTTTGTGTGGCCATGTACACAGATCTATTCATTGTAGATAATAAAAACGACAATAACATCAGTGAAAGATAGAGAGAAAGTTATTATTTTGTTCTCCAAGTACAAATACGGTCTCTAATTTCACTTAAAACTCAGTAAAATTTACTGTCCAGGCAGATGTGCAGATCCCACCTTGCGTTATGTGTAGCCCATAATGCATTGTGTCTGGCAGGAAGCTCCCCTCTCAGAGCCAGGACCCCGGTAGTTTGGATCTAAGCTTAGACCAAACTCAAATAGTTGTCAAATCGTGTCATAGGATCTGGAGATGATCAGTAGCCACACCTGCAGATCATAATGTGGGAATGGTTATTGTGTACTTGCTGGAAACACATACACATGTAGTTCTGCTATAGGAAGGCCCAATACAGTCATCAAGGCTTTAGCTGATGAGTTGTCCTTAAAGTTACATCAGAAAAGCTGTGAAGTTGGTATATTCTTACCCCAAATATGATGTTTCACTGTAAACCTCAATCTTCAATTAAAACAACTTTGTAACAGAAACAGGTTGACTTCCTGTTCAAAACAGCACAACAAGAATGTTTTAAACCTCCCCAGAGTCTTATTTGTTTTAATAATCAAATAATGAACTATGAATCAATCAAAATACAACTCTGTGCAAACTAATGATGAGAAAAAAACATTATAACATGGTTGAAAGATCATTTTTACCATAGACTTTAGGTTACGTTCAGACTGCAGCCTGAAGTGACTCAAATCTGATTTTCTGGCCCCTATTCGACCTGTATCTGATCTTTTAATGACAGTCTGAACGATTTTTTTCAAATGCGACCCAGGCCGCTTGGATATGTGCTCCTAAAACCGATACATATCCAATCTTTTGACATTCGACTTCAGTCTGAACGGCCAGGTCGCATTCATCCCACCTACACGTCAGGCTAGGAGTCTAGTCAATGGAGGGAAAGCGAGGTTAGCGAGTTTATTAATATTTGGTTGGATCGATGTATTAAGGCCAAATTGGAGGGGTCTTATTGGAACTGGGCGGTTTTGAAATGATTGCCAAAGAAATGGCCGAAAAAAGAGTCTGTGAGCCAAATACAAGGAGGCTAAAGACTCAAACAAATGAAGCAGCTATGGATGTGTAACCTGTCCATTTTACGAAAAACTGGACTATATTTTGGGAGATAAGCCCAGCGTTTAGGTGCCTTCCGTAAACACTGAGCACACTTGCTGCGTGTAATGTCTTTGTGTCCTGCAATGCGCATGCAAGACACTTTTGGGATGTTTAAAGTTCAAACTTGAGATCACATACAAATCACATTTAACTGGAAATGTGAACGACACAAAAAAATCCGAATTGAACATAATCCCTGCAGTCTGAACACCTAGCCTAAGGGAGTGTAATGCCACCCATAGCATTTGGCTCCAGTCAAATGAAGCTAACAGTGCTAGCAGATATGGGAGCGAATTTTGAGCCAGGACCATATTAGGAACAGTAATTTATTTAAGTACAAAAATGTAAGTAAAACATCAGGACCACGTAGAACGGGTTAATATGAACATTTTATGACCAAAATTACGAAGCTCACTGCAGCAGTTACAGAAAGAAGGGTGACAATTGTTCACTTGTCAAGTCAATTGAAAAGTTGATGGTGCCGAAAGCTTTCCCATGAACATTCCTGTTAGGAACGCGGTGACTAGTTGGGTTAGCTGTGTCCTTTTTATGTCTATGGCTTTCAACTATGTTCCCTTTAAGCAAATAACACAGCATTTCTGATCTGTAAGTAAATGCTGGTTTAAAAAAAAGTCTATTTATGTCTCAAGCATGTTCTAAGCAGGTTGTGAAATGGCAATTACCAGTGAATGTGGGTAATTGTCTTAGAGTCTTATAAAAACCTTTGATAGGAAATCTAGATAATATAATATATGTAGAAATCTTTTGGTTGCAACATTTCAGTGGACTCTGTATGACAACTACACAGCAAGCATTGTCCTTTGTCCTTGACTGAACCTTAAGATCTTTGACCTCAGTGTCCTCCCCCGTCTCGGGCAATGACCTCTGACCAATGACCAATGACTTTTGGATCAATAAAAAACAAACACATATTTTATCAGTAACCTCTGTCCAAAATAAACACTTTCTCCTTGACATGAGACTAAACTATTAAGCACACACATTAGGCTTTCAACAGCTGATCCCTCCTTATCGCACACAAGTCCCCAAACTATTTTAAGTTGAAATTAATCAAAATATTTAGTACAATTTCTAACATTGTCTAGGGATCTCTGTTTCCTTGATAATTCCAATGAAATATGACTTATGGATGAGATCATTTTCACACCCTTGAACATTAGTCAACTCAATAACAACAATTTAAAAATACAAAATGGTGGTATCTCTTGTGTAACATTGCCTTAATTTGAAAATGGGTCCAGTGCTTATTTCTACCCACCGCCAATTCCAAGAGGTATAATGTTTTTGAGTAATGGCAGACAACAACGGCTAAGTGTTTTTCTTGATTCAGGAAGGATTGTGTGTCTACATTTCCGTGGTTTTGGTCTGAAATCGAACCCAACTTATTCTCAGTGGAGGATGTAAAGTAGTAGTTGTGTGTCAGGCATTATTTCCTCATTGTTCTGCAGTGTTCACCCGCTCTCCTCTGACCCATTTCTCTGGATTAGGGAGTCTGTTTGGGCTTGGTTGTGGTTCTGGTCTTGGTCGTGGTCTAGTCTTGGTCCTTTTCTTGGTCCTGGTTTTGATCTTGGTCCTGGGTCTGGTCTTGGTATTGGTCCTGGTCTTGATCTTGATCCAGGTTTTGGTCCAGGTCTTGGTCCAGGTCTTGATGCTGGTCTTGGTCCTGGTTTTGATCTTGGTCTTATTTTTGGTTCTGGTCTTGTTCCTGGACTTGGCCTGATCTGGGCCCTGGTCTTGATCTTGGTCTTGGTCCTTTTCTTGATTTTGGTCTTGGTCCTGGTCTTAACCCTGGTCTTGGTCCTAGTTTTGGTCCTGGTCTTGTTCCTGGTCTTGGTTCTGGTCTTGGTTCTGGTCTTAGTATAGGTCCTGATCTTGGTCCTGGTCTTGATCTTGGTCTTTACAGTGGTCTTGGTCCTGGTCTTGGTCTTGTTCCTGGTCCTGGCCCTGGTCCTGGCCCTGGTCCTGGTCTTGGTCCTGTTCCTGGTCTTGGTCCTGGTCTTGATCTTGATCTTGGTCTGGATCTTGATCTTGATCTTGTTCCTGTCTTGGTTCTGGTCTTGGTTCTGGTCTTGGTCCTGGTCTTGCTCTTGGTCTTGCTCTTGGTCTTGCTCTTGGCCCTGATCCTGGTCCTGGCCTTGGTCCTGGTCTTGATCCTGGTCTTGACCCGGTCTGTCTGTTTCCAGGAGGTGAGCTGTACACTGGACTGACAGCGGACTTCCTGGGGAGTGATCACGTGATCCTCAGGACGATGGGGGGACGCTCCACCATGAGGACAGAGACCGACCAGAAACTCCTGCACGGTAACTTTTACTTTTACCACACACAAATATTTTAGATTTACCTTTGAAATTAAACATAATATTCAGCTTTTTATATTCAACAATATTGTTACATTTTAGTCCTTGGGGACTGAGAAATACAAGAGGAGCAGCAACTCTACTCTAAGCTCCAAACCAATTTTCTGTAAAAGGAGATCTTGCTATTCTCTGTAACCTGTGCCCCTCCACATGTTAGAAAGCCTTATAAAACGTATTTTGTTTAGTTTTGTTTGTCTGTCTTTTGTTGATTTTGTCACTTTTTTAAATTGCATCCCCAGAGGAAATGATTCTGTTCATGGTGCCAGTTTTATAACAATCTAAAACCAGTTTTCCCTGTAGAGCCCAGGTTTGTGGCTGCTCACCTGATCCCAGACAATGACGACAAAGACGACAACAAAGTGTACTTCTTTTTCACTGAGAAAGTGACCGAGCCTGGAGACAGAGAGGGAGCCATCTACTCAAGGATTGGGCGAGTGTGTGCGGTGAGACATTTGCCTTTATATTTCCAATAAATAACTTTGGACAAATGTGCAGTAAAGTGTGACCATCAGATACAGACATATAAAACCACATAAAAAGCTGGCACAGATTGACTCAATTGCTGTATCTTGTTCTCCTCGCTCCTGGGAAAAGATAAACAGTCTCTTGGGGCTGTGCAGTCTTGTGGTTTTCTCAGGAGACTACAAAAGAAATCTAATATCTCAGATGCGTCCAAGACTCACACAGCTGTCAGGCCCAGGCTCTGTTCCAGCTGCTCCAAATGTTCCTCACATTCTTTCACGCATCCATTTCAAACCAGATGCTGCTGCTATGTCCACACGCAACCTAAATATTCTGCTCAGGCTCAGCCATGAGCTGTTCCACTTGTAATGTAAAATCTGCCTGATTTTTCAGTCGGTGCCGTCCCTATCACAGTCTCTCAGGCCAAAATAACGTCATCACTTCACAAACAGATCCTAGTGCCAAGAAGTAGTCAGGTCCCGTCCAATCCACTTAGAATGAAACTGTACAAGAAGAGGATCTGGCATTGAAACACCTGCTGAAAGGAAAAATGATACAACAAATGCGTTAATGCTGTCATGCTTCAAAAACTACTTGTTTTGGACCAATTATTTGAAGTAACAACTGAATGCAAATACAAATATTTTACGTAGTATTCAAATTTAGAGATATACACATCCAAGACTTCTGACCCGGTGTGCTTGTCCAAAAGGTTTTCAAAATACTAACCGTCGTAAATCAATGCAAACCGTTAAAGAAGAAAAAGCTGTGGAAAATAAATAAAGAAAAATAAACATATATTATTAAAGTTGCACTGTGGAACTTTACTGGTGTAGAGTCTCAGTCTGTGTGTAATTCGTTTAGTCCTGGTTTAGACCTGGTTAAGTCCTGGTTTATTCCTGGTTCAGTCCTGTTTCAGTCCTGGGATCAGTCTTTGTTTAGTCCTGGTTCAGTTCTGGTTCTTTTCTGGTTTAATCTTGGGATCAGCCCTGGTTTAGTCCCGGTTTAGTTGGTATGCGGCACAAAAGTCCTGCATCACAGTTTAAGTCACGGAAAAGGGAAACGGCCGTTATCCATTTTCTTCCATTATTTATTTAAACACAAAATCATCAAATCAAAAACTGAAAAAAACAAATTGTTATGTTTTTTTTGTTTTTTTGTTTTTTGGAGACAAATAATGTAGAAAATATTTAGTAGTGTTTCATTTTCTTATTTTTTATTTTATTTTGAAAAACTAATGAACGAATGATATACGGATTGGTCTCCTACCTGTGTGTCTCCATGGAGATGTTATTGCTTTGCCTGGAAATTCCATGTTATGACTTTAAACATATCCATCTAGCATTTATTCATTACAGATGTTTCTGTTGCTCAAAAATACAGCAATTCCTTCAGTGAACAAGGGCAACTCTCAACAGATCTGAACTGTAATATGACATAGTGTAACCTGCTTGTCTCCCTTGTGATAGACAGATTTAACTACACTGTGGAACATTATAGACAAAGCAATAACATTTCCATGGAGACAAGCAGGTGAGGGGCGGACCCTCCACTAGAAATGTTACGCAGTGCACTTTTAAGTTATTTCTGAAGTAGTATATTCTTATTTTAGAATGTATTTTAGAAATTTGATATGAATTTTATATTTCTGCACTAAAATGTTATACTTGCGAGAAACACGCCAAAGAAAATAAGCGTCAGTTCACACGTCTCTTAAACTCCCTTAAACCCGATCGTGTCATTTTTAAACTGCCAATAATATTCTATAAAAATATGGGACTGAACTCAGCAGTGTTTTATGGATAATTTTTACTGTTTTTTTTGCTTTGGCAGAATGATGTTGGCGGTCAGAGAGTGTTGGTGAACAAGTGGAGCACATTCATAAAAACCAGACTGGTGTGTTCGGTGCCTGGACCTCACGGTATCGATACACACTTTAACCAACTGGGTGAGTCTGCAGACTATCTCAGTTAGAATATGTGAAGTGAATAGTTACAGTCCAATGTTGTAAAATTATTGAAAATTGTGTGTCTTGGTTTTGTGAGTAAAATATCTAAGGTGAAGTTCTGTGTTTGTACTTCTGTGTGGCTCATATCACACTATTTTCAGATCTACAGTATGTTGTAGGGGTGTAACGGTACATGTATTCGTGCCGAATCGTTTCGGTATGGAACATTTGGTTCATTGCAGGGCTGGACACGAGTGAGTTCGCGCAATTTGTCTGTTTACGTTCTGCCACTACATTCCGCTATGTCCCCCAAACCACATGAATCCTCGCAGAACTATGGTCGTCGCGTCCCAGTCCTCACTTTTTTTTTACTGCATTTCCACTACTACTATTTATTTTATTTTCTCATTTGTATAATGTTAAAACAAATTGGTGGTTTAATAAACACACAAATAAACAACAAGTAAATGGTTTTGCATTTTGTAACAAAAATGAACCAAACTGTAACCTAAAAACTGAAGTACATACCGAACTATGATTTTTGTGTACCGTTACACCCCTAGTATGTTATAATCTTTCCTCATCACAAACAGACCTGGAGTTGTGTTTTGTTTCATTCACAAGTTTAAAACACAAACCCTGCATGTTTGGGCTGAGTTTTAATCTCAAACGGAAAACACTCTGTTCCACCTTGTGATGTCATGTGGTAATACAGGAAGTGCTCCACTGTTTTTTAAAACTGTATACCCCTACACTAGAAGAATTTGGATTCATCCAATCTCTACAGAACTAAAGGTAAAAGAAGCTGTTATCCTGAATACTAAAGCTTCATGACATCACAAGGTGGAACAGAGCATTTGGAGCTTTGGAGATGTAGACAGCCTAATAATAAAGGGTTACTCATACTCAAACATGTGTGAATGAAACAAAACACGACTCCAGGTATGTTTTTGATGAGGTAACAGCATTATAACATGGCTTAAAGCTCACATGAATCAATTTTGTGTAATACGGACCTTTTGAAGTAAATGATCATAAACCAACAACCAAAGACACATGTTTTTAGTAGTTACATCAGAGCGCCTGTTTGATCTTACAGAAGTTTATGAGGAAAATGGCAGTCTTGTTAAATGGCAGTTGTAGACAAAGTAATTGATGTCAATGAGAAAATTTACTATTACGTTGTCTAATTGTGAAAACAGAGGATGTATTCTTGCTGAGGACCAAAGACGAGAGAAACCCAGATGTCTACGCCATTTTCAGCACCATCAGGTAAATCAGTGATTGTATAAAACTCTACAAGTGAATCAATGATCTATAGCATCAGTTGTGCTTAAAAATATGACTTACAGCTAATAATTCATCATTTATGTGCTGAGACTACACATGATAGATTTCTGCTTTGTCTTCTCTACAGTAACGTGTTCCAGGGCTTTGCAGTATGTGTCTATCGTATGGCTGATATCAGAGAAGCTTTCAACGGACCCTTCGCTCACAAAGAGGGTCCAGACCACCAGTGGGGGGCATATGAGGGCCGGGTCCCCTATCCCAGACCAGGAGTGGTGAGTTCACTTCAAGGTTTCTATATTATCCTATTTACTGATCTATGTTAAAATGTTGTTTCCTCATCACAAACATAACTGGAGCTGTGTTTTGTTTTATTCACACATGTTTAACACACAAATCCTCCACATTCAGCTGAGTTTTTACACAGATAATAGAGGAAGTGCTCCACTGTGTTTTTAAACTCCATATGCCTTCACTAGAATCATATGAGTAATTTCAACCCTACAATTATCTAAAATCTCTACTGAACAAAAGGTAAAAGATACAGCTTGTTAATTTGAAAACTACACCTTCATGACATCCCAAGCAAGGTGGAAAAAAGCATTTTGAGCTTTGGAGACACAGACAAAGTAATATTAAAGGGTTACTCAGACGTGTGAGAGAAATAAACCTCAACTCCAGGAAAGCACTGTTTTCAATCAAATGATCAGCAGCTATGAGATCATAATGAAGGAATTAGTCTGTTTGTCAGGAATTTTGTTTTAACGGTAAATGAGGAGTCATTGTTGATGAAGTTCAGTTTTGAGAACTGTATGGCTTTGTACCATAAAGTAATAAATGCAACATCAAAATCTGTCAAGGCAATGAATGTGAGAGAGAAGTGTCTGGCCTAAAGACACACCAACAGGGTTATAGGAGGACCACTCTGCTATGTATGTATAAAAAAACTGATCAAATATTCTGAGCAAAACTAAAGTATTTGTTGCCTCCTCATCAGAGTAAGCCCTACATGTACGTAAGCTTTAACACAGTTGGACATTTCTTTGGCCTTTCCTCTGGGCTTCATTGTTGGTGCTGCTTATTTTGCCTGTTGGCTTCTGAATGTAATAAACACCCTAATTTACTTCTATAAACCTGCGCAGAGTTTTCCCACACCGCATATTCAGGAGTACAGGGCACTTATGTTTCTTTTAAGATGTCTTATTTATTCTCAGAAATGTGGGATACATCAAGTCTGCTGATTTTATACTTTAATACTATTGTTTTACTTTATTGCCATAACTCACAATAGTGTAATGACTCTGATACAACAAACCCAGGTCTAGGTTCCACTTCTCATCACATTGCAAAGCCCTTTCTAAACACACTTGAAGTTTTAATCCAACTCAGATATTTATGTTGGGTCTTAAATGCTCCTTTTGGTTTAAACTAGTTTCAGAACAGATTTAAAAAATACCACACATGCTTTGGTAGTGTGCAGCGTGTTGCGGACACCTGCACAACTCTCTAGGGTTTGGACTAATGACAATAACATCAGATAAGTGAAGAAAGGCATTGTTTTTTGTGGACTAATTGTTTTAGGATAACAAGAATAACAACGGAAGAGGTTTGGTTTGCTAAAGGAATTTGCAGGTTATCCTAATGGAAAGCATTTCAAGCTTGCCTCACCTTTATTGTTCCCTACAAGTATAATGAAGTGTATCTTAACCTTAACCTTAAATTAATTATAAGTTGAAAACTTTCTATTGAAACATAGGATGTGCCACTTTAGTCAACATTATTTGGCCGAGAGCATAGGATCCTTCCATGAGGCAGGCACCCTTACTTACTGTATATTTCGGACTGAAAGTCGCACTTTTTTTTTGGTTTGGGTGTTTGCTGCGACTTACACTCCGGTGAGATTTATATATTAAAATTTTCACACTGACATCCTCGAGAGGGCGCTCTAGGCTTATGTGTCAGTATCTGCTCTCCTTATTACTCGTGCACCACTGTCAATTCGCGCATGTCTCCTACAGAAAGAGCCGCTGTCCTGTCTGTATCATGTCAGTCGATTGCAGTATTACTTCTGTACCACTGAAAATGTAAAATCTATAAAGACAAATGATACACAAATGCCTCCAAAAAGAAATGCAAGTAGAAAAATATGCAGGTGAAAACGGTAATGCAGCAGAAAGAAAGTTTGGAGTGAACGAGAAATTTGTGACAACCGGAAGGGTGCACCATGCAACTTTCCTGGAAATTATTGGATGGATCGACAAACCCTGGACTTCAGTAACAACCGAAATCATCCTGTCAGTGTTCAGAAAGGCCGGAATAATTCTAAATGGAACTGATGCTGAGTCTGACAACAGTTATGCAGAAGAGGAAGCGGCGCTCCGTTTACCTCTAGAGGTCGCCAAGTTGCTCAGAAGTGACACTGAGGATGAAAAATTCAATGTATTTAGTGATTTGGAGTGAGATCAAGAGTTTGGTGAACTTGTTCTGTTCTGTTGTTTATGCTATAGTTATCTGAATAACTGTTCATATGTGACATTAACAGCCTCTTGTTCTCTGTTCTATTGTTATTACTATAACTTGACTTTCAAGATGAAATATCAGTTCTTGGGCTCTGATTTTATAAAATTAATTTCTCCCAAAAAATGTGACTTATAGTTCGATGCGACTTATAGTCCAAAAAATATGGAATGTATCATAGTTCTGTGCATTATAATGAGTGGTATGGATCTTTTATATGGATTTAATGTCAAAATCACATCCAACTCCACATGACATATTAACCAGATGTTAAAATGTGGTGTGAACAGGACCTTTGTCCAGCTCCACTTTGGGGCTGATTACTGGAACATGACCTCCCAGGACCCATTGCTGTATGTGTACCTAACAGATCCAGTATCACATATCTCTCATGTCTAATAACTCAAACATGTGTCTTTTACATTATCTTTGCTCATGTCCAGTCCAGACTGCACTTTAAATTCCTCCACCGTAGAAACCAGACCAAGACCATCACATTGCAACACTGCAGACCTCCTATTGTTATGATAAGAGGGGGGATAATATTTATAACAGACAAAGCTTCTGATTGGAACAAATGACCAGTGTGTTATTATCATCTGATCTACTGACTGACCCATCTCACAAGAACATGCACGCAAACTCCAAGGCCTATTATTCTGTTTGTTTTTTCTTTTAATGGAATTAGCCTTCAATTCAAAGCAAAAATTAAAAGAGTATGCATCATCAGTTATTTTTCTTTCATTTTGGTTTCTCTTCTGGAGTAATCACAGACACATATTCAAACAAGCTGCTTGTAAATGCCCTGCAATTACTTTTCCGTGGCGGTTTTGGTTGGTCGGGTTGCAACAGAAGTAGGATTAGATGCTTGTTTTTTTTTGGGCCACGGAAAGTAAAATTTATTTGCCAACCTTGTCAAATTAGGAACCTTAAGTGTCAAGTTATAATGTCAGTTTGTTTTTGAACAACTTTTGAAATGTCCCTTCTCTTTTACTTTTTGGACCTGACTGGAACCTGTAATGATTCTGCTTCATATTAACCAAACTTTAAACACATTGAAAATAAGCAAGTTTTGGCTGTTGGTAACAGAGCTAATTCTTTTCTTCTGGCAGAACAAAGTGAATTCCTCAAAACACTGGTAATTAAGAAAAGCATGTATTTCAAATGAGAAGGTCCAGAGATGTGTTTTTAAATGTCTTTTGAAGCAGCTGCTATTCATTTTAATAATTCAGAAAGCATAAGAAAGGTGTTTCAAATCTGGAATTATATTTGACAACCAATAAGTTTAAACACACTTATTAGCCTTATTCAAGTATTTCCTTTTATATACACACACACACACATATATATATATATATATAATTTATTGTGTCAAAGTTTCCCCAGAAAAAAAAAATATTCTTGCTTGACTTTAGTATTTATGTTTTGTTTCTGTTTTTGATCACCATTTACCCCCCACCCTTATTCAAGTACTGCATTTCAATGTTATCCTAGTTTAGTTCATAGTAGTAGTTTTATTCTGTTCATATCTTAGTACTGCATCTACAATTATAGAACACATTTGGATCAAAAGGACTGGCAATGGCCCATATTTGGGGCATAAACACATCAATCACCTCCAACCACAAAACCAAAAATGGCGCAAAACAATGCCACTGTAATCTGCCAACAGGCTAAAAGTTGATCCAAAAATATGAACTCTTTTGTTTATTGTTTTGCAGTGCCCCAGTAAGATCACAAACCAGCCGGGCAGAGAGTTTGGGAGCACGAAGGACTTCCCAGACTCAGTGCTGCACTTCGCCCGCAGTCACCCGCTCATGTGGAGACCCGTGCACCCCGCCCAGAAGAAGCCCGTCCTGGTCCGAGCCAATGTCCCGTACAGACTGCAGCAGATCACAGTGGACCGCGTAGAGGCCGAGGACGGGCTGTATGACGTCATGTTCATCGGCACTGGTATGACTAACACATTATCATATGTACATTATGATCTATGTGAAGTTATGATCTGACAAGCAACCTGTTAGAGCAGGGGTCATCGAACAAAGGCACTTTAGCCAACTCTGGCCCGCCACACCCCTTTGACCAGCCCCCCCAGCCCCTCAAAAAGTTGTCATGGCCTATTTTTTTTTTATTACTTTTTGGCAAATAATAACACATTGTATTTTGTAGATTTTTTCAATTAAAAAACTATATTTATATCAACTATTTATATTTTCTATTTAAATAATTATATGATGTATTTATATATGCCGCCAAATTTTCATCACCTGACAAGCTCCAGATCAAACAGTGACAGTCAGCGCACGCATAGAGTTCTGTAGTGCAGTTAAGGACAGCAAAATGGTTCATGTTAAAGTACAAAAAGTTGACAGACAATGCGTAGTTTTCAAAGAAGAGTGGACGACGATTGCTTTTTTGTTCAGTGTAATAATAAGTTTGTCTATTATGTAAAGAAAGTGTGGTGGTTTATAAGAATATAATCTGCATCGTCAGGGTCATACAATTCTGTTATAGGGCCGACCCGACCCCGGCCCCCCATTACAGTCAGGAGTGATAATGTGGCCCCCAGATAACATAGTTTGGTGACCCTGTTTTAGAGGGAGGTAGTAGGTTGTAGGTTTGCAGTTTGTCCCACATATGATCTGTTCAAAAGTTTATTTAGGTTAGTTCAACAAAGAATTGGTCACTTTATGTCAAAATTTTCCAGGTGTTAAAGGGCCCATATTTTTCAGTCCTAGAATTGCCAGCCTCTTGTGAACTGAAAGGTAAAATGTCGCTGTTAACTTGAGAAATACTGCTTCATGGCATTGCAAGGTGGAACAGAGCATTTTGCAATAAAACACTTTTAAAGGAAAATAAAACTGTGGTGAATCAAGATTGATACAGTAGAGTGTGTTTCAACACGATCAGGTTCAAAGTTGTAGTGATTACAAATTATCAGCAGAAGGCTTCAGTATATACCTGACACCTGTGAGCTGGTCCAAAGTATAACAGTTACACCCACTGCAGGTTTAAACAAGTATGTGTGTGTTTTGCAGATATTGGGACACTTTTGAAAGTCATCACTCTGCACACTGGAAACAGCCTGGAGACGGAAGTGGTCACATTGGAAGAACTACAGGTTTTCAAGGTGAGTTTGGTGAACAAGTTAGGAGTAATGCCTCAAGGTCTATAAAATGCTGTTTTGTTTTATGTTTAAGAAATAAAAATAAAAATATAATGCTTAATCCCAGCTTTAACTTGCAGGTTCCTACTCCTATAACCTCAATGGACATATCAGTCAAAAGGGTGAGCATCACTGATTAATTTTTACTTTTTACTAGTTTTGCTGTGAATGAAGCTGTAGTTTTAATTAATTAGTTTGTTGTATTGTAGCCACAGCTGCCCTGGAGCAGATTCAGTATCAATTACTTACTTGCTTTGACCTTTTCCTCACAGCAAGCCGTGTTTGTGGGCTCAGATGTGGGGGTGGTACAGGTGAAGCTGCACCGCTGTGAGACCTATGGGAACGCCTGTGCTGAGTGCTGTTTGGCCAGAGACCCGTATTGTGCCTGGGATGGGACGTCCTGCTCCCGATTCGTCCTCAACAGTAAACGTCGCTATCGCCGCCAGGACATTCGCCATGGCAACCCCGTACTGCAGTGTGTCGACCAAAACATGAGCGGTAAGACATCAGCAACTTATACTGGAGTCTCTTGATCCAGGCTCTGTTCATTTAAATTAATTGGAAATATGCTGAAAGTTTACATTTTCCTAATTTTGTGTATGACTCTTGTCCAAAAAGGAAGCATATATGTATATAAAGGTTATTAACTAGAATAAAATAAAGACTATTGAATTGGATGGGTCCAATACTGTAGAACAGGTCTCTATTTCTCTACGGTAAGGTAGTTCATCCAAGGTTCCCGAATCAAATAACTCCCACTTAAATTGCATACAAAATATGTCCTGGAAAAAAAAATACACAATTATAGATTTTAGATGCTATAACAGAATAATGAATACAATACTGTTTACAATCTATGTGAAATGATTTCTCAACCTCTATCAGCAATCATCTAAAAGAGTGGTTCTTAAACTTTTCACACCAAATACCAGCCAAGATAACATATCTGTCTGAGAACCACCACATTTAAACCGGCAGTATATCAGACCTAAATTAGGGTGAAATTGATCTCAAATTAAACTAAACAATGATGGTAAATGGTAAATAATGGTTAAAGTGGGACTAAACACATAAACTTTTCCTACAACCACATTTCAGATAGAGATGTTAAACTGGGCAGAGGACTAAAGGGGAGAGTACAGGACAAGAAGGGGTGGGGTCTGGAGGTAGAAGGAACAGTGTGATTGGTCTAACAGGCATCTACACTAAAAACTAGAGACATCTGGCTGTAATCAGAGCAATCCTGTGGGATGTCACATAGTACTCGGAATTGCAATGGATTATTTTGTAACACAAAGTTGCAGATTACGTAGTTTGCTCTGAAACTGCCCCCCAAAAAATGCTCAAAAGGACTAGGAACAGTACGCAATACTAACAAAAAAACATCACAGAGTTTAATAGCAAAATGTGATTTAGAGCTTAGTTCCACTTTAGCTCAAAGAAGAACAAAAATCATGAATAGATTTATCTCTAAGTGAAACAAATAACACCAGATGTAGCATATTAAAGTTTGAAGAAATACTGATCTAAAACAAACAAAGAGACTTGAGCAGGAGCGTAAAGAGGGGATGACGGGGAGAAGTTCAGGTGGCCATGCCTGAGGGAGCTGATGTTTGCACACGTCACTTCAGGTACGAGCTCCTCCTTCAACAGCACACAAGAACTGCTTCTACAAAAGCTCTGTGTGTTGCAATATCTCTGTCAAGTGTTTTTTTAACTCAGACTGAAGTGGGGTCCTGGACTTAAAGATCAATATTGTTAAGACTTTTGAAGGAGTTGTTATAAATACTCTTGCGCAATAAATATAAGCATTTAAGGGTGAGGTTAAAAGCACACGCACACTTTTAACTTGAGTGAGTCTTTGGCTGTTTACATGCACAAACTTTGGATTATTATTTGTAGTTGAGAGATTTTTGAAATGTTAGTTAAACAGTTATATCAGATGAGTATTATGATTTTCTTTGGGAAAATTATGCAAACTAATATGGGCAAACAAAGAGTAACCATAATATTTTTTAAGAGCTTAAAGTCAGCATTGCTAAACAGAGACCAATCAAGAACTAAAGACTAGAATTTAATCAAGGGCGGGCGAAGGCTGCACAAATTATTGAAAAAAAGAAAAGATTTTCTGTACTATTCCTGTTAACTTGAAAGAGAAAATGTTAAATATTGATTAGAAGAAATTAAAATGTAATTTAAAATTCATTTTCACTCAAATCTACTAACTGTCACATGTCACCAGGTAATTTTGGTGATCAGATTTCATTGCAGGTAAACACGCTGCAATCAGGTCCTGCACGGGTCCATTTTTGGAGACCCGCACCCACGCAGTTCCGCACTACACCCACCAATTAACACGTGATTATATTCAAGTTAAATCCGCACTCGCCCAGACCCGATAACATTCCACCCGTTACCCGTGATAAATCGGGGTCAGCCAATTAGTCTGACAGCCCAGTAGTCCAGGACTAAACCAGGATTGAACACACGCCATGTCATTAGTAAATTATAAATGTATACACACTGCAACCGCAAAGTCAATCACCAGGACAAACACCAGGACTGGACCAGGACTTAACCAGGTCTAAACAAGTGTCATAAATGTAAATATATACACACTGCAACTGCTGAACCAATCGCCAATCGTCAGGACTTCACCAGGACTTAACCAGGACTAAACCAGGACTGAATCAGGACTTGACCAGGACTAAACCAGGTCTAAACCAGGCCAATCACCTCCGCTGATGGTTTCATGTAATAAATACACTAAAGTCACTCTCTCAGCCTGGTCTGCCATCATTCCAGGAAAAAAACGGGAAATGGCATTTGTTTCCAGGGCAACAGATGTCCTGGATGCATGTCAAGTATTTTTCTTCCGTTCGTCGTTCATTTGATTCATCTGACCCGCTCGTGTGTAATCGCTACCCGTCTGTATACTTACCCGTAAAACATTAAAACCTAACCGTTTCAGCAAATATTTGCAGGTACCCGACCCGGTGCAGGACTCTGAATCAAATCTAATTATACTGAAACATTATACATTATTCTACTAATCTTTTCATGTAATCTTTTTATTTTCATGTAAATGTACTCATTGATTCAACTGCAATCTTGGCCTGGAGTTCTTTATTGCATTAACACATTTATGCTACAGTAGTCCACTTGTCAAAGTATGCTCTGTTTTGTTTGTTGCCTACTCCAGCCAGTATCTATTTTATTTGTTTAATTTGCTTTACATTTTTCCATCTTTTTTTGACTGAACAGAAGAGCTGGATGTCCCAGAGGAGAAAGTGGTTTATGGAACAGAAAACAACAGTACGTTCCTGGAGTGTATCCCTCGCTCCCCACAGGCTTCCGTCAGCTGGCTGGTCCAAAGAGAAGATCGCAAGGAGGAGGTGAGATAGACCATACACCACTATTAATATATAGCCTATCTAATGCTGTTTTCATACTTCCTAGAGACTTAAGATTAGAATTTAATCAAGACGAGGGCTGCACAACTTGGGAAAGAAAAGTAAATTTTTCTGTAGTATTGCAGTATCCATTAAATATGCGATTTATGTTTGAAAAGTAGCATTCTGGTCATACTGCACATTTCAAACACACCCAGGAACGCATTTGAAAGATGTGAACTGCTTAACTAATTAATCATTAGACTAACGGACAGGATTAACAAAATTTTTACCCTTAAAAGACAGGATACTGTGTTGCAGAAGACATTCTAATTTGCAGCCTTTGCTAATTGCACCAACTAGGGTCGTAGTACTCGAGACCGGTCTTGAGACAGTTTTTCTACGGTCTCAGTTTTTCTACAGTTACTTTTTCTACGGTCTCTCTCGTTTCGGACTCAAGCATATTTGGACTCGATCCTGTCTCAGTCTTGATGGCGCTTGATCTCGGTCTTGAAGGTCCTTGGACTTGGTCTTGTCTTGGTCTTGAATGCGCTTGAACTCGGTCTTGTCTCAGTCTTGAAAGCACTTGGACTTGGTCTTGTCTCGGTCTTGAAGGCGCTTGGTCTTGAAGGCACTTGTACTCAGTCTTGTCTCAGTCTTGAAGGTGCTTGGACTCGGTTTTGTCTCAGTCTTGAAGGCGCTTGGACTCGGTTTTGTCTCGGTCTTGAAGGCACTTGGACTTTGTCTTATCTTGTACTCGAGGTCTGACACTCAACGAGGGCAATTATGTTTCATTACAGCTGCACTGTCGACAATGAACCTATACCGGTGTGTGGGAGTGTGGGAGGCATTTCACTGCAGCCTGTGTGCTCATTTGATATATATAAACCAAAATAACTGTAAAATATAAATAAAATAAATATTGAAAATTAGAAGATGGTCTCGATTTGGTCTCTGTCTTGTCTCGGCCTTGCCCTTTAAAAGTCTTGGTTTTGTCTCGGTCTCGAGTCTCGAACCTCAGAGGTCTTGGTCTTGTCTCGGTCTCGAGGCCCTGTGGTCTCAGACTGGTCTTGGTCTCGATTAGTGCGGTCTTGACATCAACACCAACTGACACCAGCTCAAATTGTGATTTTGATTTGATTCTGAGATACTGCGCAGCCCTAATGATTCAAACCCAACTTGAACAATGACAACACTAGGCCTGTATTGGGCAACAGCAGCTCAGGTGGTAGAGGGTTTGTCCACTGACCCACAGGTTGGCAGTGTGATTCCAATTCCCACAGATGAATGCTGTTGTTGTGTCCTTAGGCAAGACACTTAACCTGAGAAGGTGGAAAAGTACTGTATAAAAATGTGACCATTTACCATGACCCATTTTTATCAACTATGAACAGGATCTAAGCAAAGATCTGGACCATTTTAAAGGTCTAAGCACAGACAAAAACTTCCTACTTAACTGGGAACTGAACCAAAAAGTACCACTAACCTACCACACTAACCTGTACCACACTTTAGGTACCACAAAGAATGCTTCCTTTAGCAAACAGTGTCTACAAATACTTTCGAGTGTGAATTTGGCACGTGTCTGACACTTTTGACAGCAGTCTGACATATGGTTCAAATTAGAACATTATATTTTCAAAAAGTAGAGGAAGTCGTGTTTTGCTTGCACAAACACTGATCTTTTTGCAAATCACATACCACCTACACTTAAATTGTCACTCAAATCAACTCTCCCATGCAACTTTACAAAGGACTTTTTCAGTAAACTGTGTTGCTTGGTTCCCCACACCCACTGCAGTCTTTTTCCTGTTTGAGGTTGTGTTTGTCCAAGCTTTATGGTCTGTATTATAGCATTACCGTCATTCACCATTTTTCTGAAAATAATGGTCCATCTGTCAATCAAAAAAGAATGACAGGCGTATTTGTGCTCGCTCCAAAGAGCATTTTTTAAACCTGAGATCTGGTGTGGCAGCTTGTTCGACAGGCTGAAGGAAATGGTTTGAAATGTTGGATTAAAATGTAGGAGAGTAAAAGGTGAGGGATTATAGATGTGGGTCTGTGAAAGATTTGTGACTGTTGTGTAAACATTCAAGAGTAACATGGTTGAGACACAAGCTGCAAATACTAAAAAATGTTGAAATATTATTGATATCATTACTCATATTTTGCAATACATATTGAATGATGAAAAAACTGTATCAGTGCAACCCTAATAACAATATCAATGTGCACTTCATTAAAAAAAAAAAAAAAAAGTTTCTATTCTGCCATGATTATTGTTACTGATACTTTGCATTGACATCAAGCTGGGGTGTCTCATGTATGTATATGGTGAAATGTTCAGCAGTTAATGATGGTGACACAATGCACAAAAAAAAGTCTGCAAAAATAGAACATTTAATTAAATAACACATTTTCAGGAGTGTTGTTGATCTGTGATCAATACAAACGTTCATGGTCCTGTTTAGGTGAGAATGACTAACTGAAAAACTGTTGGTTAATGGCAGCTAGCTTGTGACTAAAGTTTTATGTGCGAAAGACTTGTTTAACACCCAAAATAGGACTGAGTATCATTAAGAAGTTGCCGATATGATACATACCTCGATATATAGGTCACGATACGATACACATCTTGATACAGTGCACTTTCGGTTCGATACGATATATTTCAAATTGATTTGATACAGTTCAATAAAAAATGTTAATAATAATCATGGCTGTGATACTAAAAGTCTTTGTTAAACCACTTCTTGTACAAAGCTCATATGAAACACTCACATAAACGAGTTTCCTTCCTCTAAACATGCAACAAAACTATAGTGCTGTAACAAAATAATTTAGTAAAATATACAAAAAAAAAAACTAACTCTTGGTGATATTTCAATACAGCAGCCCATGATATTGATACTGTATCATCACATTAAACGATACAATATTTCGATATTTTTGCACACCCCTATCCTAAAATCAGCTCACCTGTTGTCCAGACAGTTCTTTCTGGTCAGATTTTGTTAAAGCAAAGCTCAGATTAATGTCAAACTTGAGTAACAGAGTTTCAGACAGAGCAAGGCCTCCAGTTAGCTGTACACCCCCAGGGAATACTGGTGGCATCAACTGCAACAGTCAGCTGCATTAGTGTTTCTGAAAAATAGACATTGTTCCACAGTCTAGTTGACACATTTTGTTCTCGATGTTCCAGCACTGTAATCCTTTCCTCTGCCTCTGATTCTTCTTTAGGTGAAGTTGGACGAGCGCATTATGATTACCGAACATGGCCTCCTGTTCCGCCACCTGTTCCGTCAGGACGAGGGTCTGTACATCTGTCGATCCAGAGAGCACGGCTTCTCTCAGACCCTGTCCCGCTTGAACCTGGAGGTGCTGCCCGGAGACTCAGTGGACGAGTTCATGCAGAGAGACAGCCACCCTGACTTCAAGGACCGCTCTGGTCTGGGGTACCGCCCGTGGACCCCCTGCAACAGCTACACCAGGGGCACTTCCACCGGGCAGTTTGGCCAATCACGTACCTGGTTCAAAGACATCATGCAGCTGATCGGTCCGGCCAACCTGCCCCACGTGGAGGAGTACTGCGAGAGGATGTGGTGCAATGATAAACTGAGGAGGAAGCATAAGAGCATGTTGGAGAAGTATCGGCAGGCCCAAGACAGCGCCCGGAAAGCCCGCAGTAAGAGTGTCAGTGAACGCAACAGGACGCCACGAGATCTGAGCCGAATCAGCCAATAGGAGCATACACAGGGGGACTAACATGATCAATGGAGACGTATTTGGCACTGAAAAACAACTAGAAGCACCTAAATGAAATAGACATTTGAATTTATAGTTCACCTCCTGTTTGACCTGAAATAGCAAAATTGGACAATATGGAAAACATCCTATAATGTTCAAGTTATGAGAATGACCAGATTTATGTTTTGGTTAATACAAAATTTGAAAATGTTGAAACACAAAGTTACTCCTATTTGTTAATCTTGTCTTCATTGTAAACTATCACATACAAAAACACATTTTAATAAGAACTGAATACAATTTTTATTTCAGATCAGGTGCAATACAGGGTTAGTGGTGTCTTTTTATGCCGATGTCAAATTTGTAGAAAATTCACTTAAAAATGTTGCGCAAAACTGCAGCTTGTGTTTCAGTGTCATCTGGGTATTTCCCAGAACTATTACTTTAAATACAGCTCAGAGTGCATCTAGGGATGGCAAAACATGTTTTATTGAAGTCAACAGTATCCAGTAATCATCGATATCTGATCAGCAATGCACAGATGTGGCCCAGCTGTGCGGCTTGGATGTAGACATAGTTTTGATTTAGCTCATGTTTGAGTTCAGTTCAGTTTCTGGTTTATTTCTTGGTCACATAAGACCTTGTGGGACGACAGTTGACCTTTCAACAGACAAATGCAGACTGAATCATATCACTGTACATTGGTCACTGGCACACATGTTAGAATCAAAGATGTGGTCAGCTATAAGCAAAAATTACTGTAAAGAGGGCTTTGAAATGCATCTTCCTGGTCTTTAACCACATTCACTATCAATCCAATCATTTGTTACACTGCATCTATCATAATAATAGCTATTGACTCTAAATGGAAATGTTTGAGGGGCAGCAGTCTACAAAGCTAAGATGAAGTAATGAAAAGAAAGCATCAGGACTGGAGAAAAAGATGAAGATGAACAAATTCTGATATTAAAATTACTGTACAATATTTTTGAAAATACAAAAAAAGACTCATGGTGGTATATTTATTGTTCTTGTAGTGTGAGTGAGAGACATGTCCATAAAACTGCAAGTTCAAAACAAACATTTATAACTGAAAAAGTGAGACTTAAATAAATGGAAATGGTACTGAAAGTATGTTATGACTACTATATCTGTAACTGTGGGGAGGTTGGTGCAGCTTATAAGCCCGTATAATATACATTTGGTGTTTTTATTGTTCAGTAAACATGAGGCTGTTTCAGAGTGATTGTGTAGTGGTGTAGCATGTGTTTAAAGTGCATTTTGATGGTTTTGCATGCTCTCATTCAGTCCCATTGTAAATTTGTACAGAGCGTTCTGTTAGACCTTTTATATCTTCAGCCTTTTCTGTAGGTTTTTATTGGTATTCCTCTGTACTAAACAAGTGTTGTTTTTTGTGTAGGTTATCTTGTAAATATTTTTTCCCCCCGGTTTGTCTGAGTAAGGCACAAAGCTAAAGTGTAAACGTCCATCACGTTGAAAAAATAATGAAAACCAGTAGTGATTTGTCCAATACGATATGCGTTATCATTTCGTGTCAAAGCAAACTCTGAGTCAATTGTTTTATTTATGAATTTACAGCATCTTGTGCTATTTAACATCAGTGAAAATAAAAGTGAACTTTTTTATTTCAAAATAATCACCTGTCTATTTATTAAACTTTTATTTAGCCAGTGTAGATATGATTTGGAATAATGCAAACTCCACATAAAAGTCTTTTGCAAAAAGTGCACTAACCACTCTGCTACTTTTATTTCGTTTATTTGGAGCAGGTTCGGGTTGTAATTGGGATGGGAATACTGGGCAGACGCCTAGCAGCTCACAAAAGTCCAAACTTTAACCAGAGCAGAACGGCTTTGCACCCACAATATTATCGTAAATTTTAGCTCACTGTAAACACACACGATCACATTTTAAACCAAAGAGCAGCGGCCAAGTCTGACTGGAAAATATTTCTTTGTTTGAATGCAGTATTTTTCTGTCCCATTTCACTGCCTGATGGTTTATACATCCTGCCACTGTGAATTAAATTAGCTAATGTGGTGAGGCTGTTGTTCATTGTGTGGGTGACCTGAGCCAGTAAGTCATGACCTTTGACCTTTATTTTCAAACAGGAAGCACGTTTAAATCAGACACACCACATTAGGATTTGACACCGTCCACTTAAACAGGTGTGCCTGAACAAATCGCTGTAAATGAGCTGAAATAAGGCATTTATATAAAATGAAATCCCCTGACGAGCTACAGCCAACAATACGACATATTCACTATGATTTTAGAACTACTTTTTAACACTTTACATAAGATTATACTGTGCTAAAACTGTGTGGTTCATTTATGGAAGTTCTCATTAGCTGAAGAGGCCATGTCTCATGTGAACCCTCTAGAATTCTCTCCCTGAGCTGCAGAGGCTGCACTAGCACTGACTCATGACTGACAGCATGTGCTGGGGTTTAGGGAGTGAGGAGTCAGATCAGAAAGAGTCCACATTGGGTTTAAACAAATTGGATTTCAATCATCTTGACAACCAAAATACCAAGTTATATATAACATTAACAACTTGGCCATTGTGTCCAATGTATTTTGTAACTAGGTCATGTTTTAGAAATAACATCAAAATATGTCTCCTTTTTAGCATTAAGTCATCTCAAATATTACATAGAGTTGAATAACTGTAAATTGCATCCTTAAATTGCATTGGTGTGTTTTCCTTCATTTCTCAGTGTTAAGTGGGGACAGGCATTGTGTAGTAATCCACGGGGACTATATTCAGAGGTACAGGCTCCACTGTGACTGATCATGATTAATTTAAGTCCCTCATTCTCAGAGCTGGAGAGAGACGCTCTGGAGAAATCCCACTGTACAGAAACATTAGCCCCAATAGGAACAAATCAGAGCCTCACCCTGTGGACCTGTAATCTGAACTCTAATGTGAAAACACTACAACTCTTATCAGGAGATGAGAGAGGCTGAACAGGGTCGGTGTTAAAGGCAGCTGCCATATTTGAGGAATACATAGGAACTAGATATTGCATTTGTATTTAAACTATTCATTTAGTACCTTTAGTGCAGTTTCAGTATAGCTCCTGAAGGTCCCAATTTTAGTAATACACAAATACTCACAGTTGTAGTATGGTAAGACATATTTGCTGATAACATAGTTTATTGCAGTACCTGTTTTTATTATTAATAATAACTGGTTAATTCGCCTGTCAACCATGGCCTCTGGAATCAGGAAGACAGGATATGGCTCCAGATCCACTCATCTTTGTAAAGTTTTGCCAAAATGTGCGGTTCTGTCTGGTCAGGTAAAGTATTCTAACTTGGCACTTGCATAGCTAAGCCTATTCACAGAATCAAACTTGAAACCCACGAAGATATTCAGATATTTGAAATCATTTTAATTCAGCATGGTTTTACATCTGATGCCCTTTCTGTTAGTACTATATTAACTTGGGCTTTATTCAGAAGGGAGGATCTTGTAACCATTGTCCTGGTCCTGTAGTTATACTGTTTCACAATGGCAGTATAAGAAAAATGCATACAATTGTACACCAGGATAACAAGATAATTTATTGTACAGTTAAGATAATGAAATAGTTATCAAGTTTATATTACAAACTGCAGATGGAGAAATGCATCAAGGGAGAAAAACTCAAATATATCTTTTTTACTGGGCCCTGAGGGAAAAGCTCCTAAGTGTGTCACAACCTGAAGTGTAGCTGTTGTTCATAATGAGAGCCATAACTCATGAGCTGATAGTGTTGTTCTGATATAATCTCTATGGGACCACAGACCAATGACAAAGTGAATGTGACCCAATTTAAGTGAATGCGCATGATTTATGAGTCACCATTTAGTCCTGTGTCAGTGCAGAGTCCAGGATTCTTGTTCAAAGTGCAATCATAATAAATAGTGTTGGTCTAAAAATATAATGTGACATTTGAAATCATGAGGGGTTTAAAGAGGGGGGACTTTATGTCTATGGGGTTTTAACTGTTACACATAGCATATTTAGAGCAACATGTTACCTTTTATTGTTTTGAAAATGCTATATTCACTGAAAACAACAGATTAACATTTTTCATAAGTTTTAGTTTTGGTTTTGACACAGTAAGTCTCCCCTCCATTTGCTCCCCACGTTAAGTCATTCCCCCTTCAGAGCACAATCACAACACAATTGCATCAGATTTGTGAAGTTGCTGTGGACACTTTTGTATCATGTTTTCATATATTTATGGAGAATTGTCATGGGTGCCGGTGACGTAGGCTTGTGAGCTGAACATTGCACAGAATCTTACAGCTAAATGTAAAGAAGGTTCGAGTAGGGCCTGGTAGAGATTACTATATTACTGAATAGGGCTGTAACAATATCCACATCTCACGGTACAATATTTTCACAATATTCATCTCATGGTACAATTTTTATTGATATTTATTTTGTGGAGGCTAACAAAACTGTGAATATGCTACTTTTTCCTGTTAAAATGCCTTGACAAGACTTAATTCAAAGAACTAAGGTTTAAAAGTGCTTAGAACAACTGTTATTTCTTCATGTAGTTTGCACCAAAACGGAGCAAAGGATCATGGTCAATGTAGTTCCCTTTGTTGTTTTACTTATTGTCGTACCACAACAATGAATTTAAGCAAAGAAATGTGTAATTCCATTTATTGTGATGGTCCACGATATTATTGAGAGACTGAAGAGGAAACAGAAGTAACAAAATTGGAGCGCTACACTGGATCAAAAAACTTACATACAGGTGATCATCAAACCGGAGGGATAGATTCTTGTAAAATAGAAAAATGATGGCAGAGGCACTCCGATTTGCGGTGAATTTATTAAAAGTCACGCCAACACGTTTCGATTACTTGGTCTTCATCAGGGCTAATTGAATGAACAGCAGGTGTGACCATTTATAAAGGGTTACGAACCCAAGACACGTGATAGTTAAAAACAAAACATTTTTCAAATTTTTCAAAACATTTGCATGTTGAATCCAAGTATTTTGAAGAGAGACTTTATTTTAATTATTATTTAATTATTGAGAGACTTTTGACAATACGATATCACGATATTTTGGTTACTGTTAAAGCTCTACTACTTAAACATGCATGGATGACATCTAAAACCTCTTCAGACATGAGGGAGCAGCATTATAACATGGTAGAAAGCAAAAAAAAAAAAAAAAAAAAAAAAAAAAGATTTTACATAATACACTCTCTTTAATGAACAGCATAATCAAAAAGACTCACAATGTAGAATACTTCAGATACTTCTAAAAATCTGTAACTCCATAATTTTACTACTTAAAATCGCATTATGTTGTATCATTGTACCTAAATATGCATTATGTAACATGTCTGGTGGAAATTGCACAAGCTGTTATTGTTAAATGTTTCATAATATAGCATTAAAGTTATCCATCTATCTTCTTACTCCATTGCCAAGTCACAGTGCAACCTGAGTGGGTGGCCAAATGAAAGAGAACTAATCAGGATTTTGCCTAAACACATTTTATTTGATCTAATATCTCAGTTGTGACAGAGACAAATATATTTCACTAAATAATAATGGATTTAATTACAAAATGTGATCCAAAACTAACAATACAAAGGCTGCCAGTACAAACACACACATCCACTGCTGATCCCAGCAATGATTTTTGGTTACTTGGTGGAGGGTCTACTACTTACTTGTCTCCATGGAAATGTTGCTTTGCCTAGAATGTTCCACAGCATAGATTAAACATATCTATCACAAGGGAGACAAGCAGGTTACAGCACTACAATACATTACAATTCAGATCTGTGGAGAGTCACCCCTACTCAAAAAAGGAATTATTATAAAGGAATTATTGTGTTTCTGGGCAACAGAAACACCTGTAAATGTGTTTAATGTTTAAATGTGTTGTCTGTGAATAAATGCACGATGGATATGGTTAATGCCATATCATGGAAACATAAGTAAAGCAATAACATCTCAGTTGAGACAAGCACCTAGCAGATGCTCCACTAAAAAAGTTATACAATGCAATTTTATGTATGTCCGTCTCTAAATCTCAATTAAAAATGCAGACACCACAATCAAACACTTCCACACAAAATTTGAAACATAACTGCTGATCATATTGTATCAACTTATCCTAATCATCTTACTCATTAAAACGCAACTGTAATAGCCTGGATAGTAACGTTAGCGGTATAAGAGGAACAGAGTAGAGCCGACTTGTAGTGCAGATCCCAAGTGCATTTATTCCATGTGTTCCAAATATTTATGAAAGTATAAAGTTAAAAACAGGCATGGCAAAACCTGCACTCACACAAAGCATCTTCTCTAGACAATGGTGAGACTGACTCTTTTTATAGGCCACCTCCTCTAATTGGGTGAGCTCATCTTAAAGTGCAGGTAAGTTCACACAATTTCAATTTAATATTTAAAAAGTCAGATATCAAAAACAGTGCTCTAAATATTCAATTACATCAATGTGCAAAAACATCTCTCTTTATTAAATTAGCAGTGTTTTATTATTCATTTAAAAATACTAAATAGAAAAGTTAAAATATCTGTGCTCCTCTCCTCCTGACAAAATGGTTGCCTGTCCCAGAACCTTCTTAAGGTGCTCCGGCTGCCCGCACTCTTTTAGCCGGGACACCTGAGGCAGACAACACAAGAGGAGTACAACTAGTTTCAAACACAATTACTTCAATTAAATGCACTTATTTACTTATTTCATTTTCTTTACAGGTCACTTGCATTACTCTCATCTGTTAGCTAGCACAGCCTTTGTAATGGACTAGTTACTTTACAGCAACACTATACAGCAACTGTTAGCCTTTTTTTTTTTGTTACACTACAGATATGATGCCCAGGCACTGGTATAAAGTATTT